GGTCAGGTCAGCAGAAGCTTTTATTCAAAAGAAACTACAGCTGTAGGGGGGATTCCAAAGTGACATGGATTTCCCAAGCACTTGGAAGGGGTTCCCCCACAAGAGCAAAATCAGGAGGCTTATATACTTTTTAACAGTCACTTACAACTCACGTGATCAAATAGTGAAATTAGCTAGAAAAGCAGCTATAAACATTACTTCATTACTTCTTTGCTGTTATCAGGATGAGAATTATGGAGGAGACAAGGGAGAAATAGCACTCCCTGCCTGCACCTGGAAATCAGAGTTGTACATACTTTTTGCTATCTTCAAGGCCACGGTGAGCGAAGCAGTTGCAGAGTAGTTACAAAGAACAAACACTTTCCCTTATCTGTTCTACTGTACAGAGCCAGCAATTCTCCGCAAAGCGGTTATGTCATCTTATAACTCAAATGATCAAAGTTTAAGGCATTTATTTTTTTTCTGATTCCACAAATATAAATACTAACACATTTTCAAAGTCTAGTGTAGCTCCTATAATTAATTTACGTCTTTGTTCTGGAACAAATGTAGCCTTTAGAATTTGCAAACATATGAATAAATATGACTATTGTTTATATCTCTGCCTTATGCAAGATGTATTTTTGGTTGCATTCACCTTCTACAGACATCCTATGAAATAGAATTTCCAAACAAACCTGGGAGGATTAAAAAAAATCAACTTTTTACAAGGGAAAATTTTACCTTGTAACTGTGGTTCTATTCCTTATAGTAATAGGGCCAAATAATAACTCACTTTTATTAAAAAGGCAATCAGGACTTGTAGTAGAGATGGTATCTTTTATTAGACCAACAAGATTTTTGCAAAAAAATGTATTTCATTTTTATTGTGCTCACGTTTCACCTCAACCTGCAGTATACAAAATGAAGACAATCTTTATCCCCATTTTACAAGAAAAAACGCTCAGACTTCCGACTCCAACTCTAGTGTATTATTCATTGATCTAGGCTTTGGAGCACATGGTATTCCTGGAAATAAAGCAGTACTGTTGACATCCATCATGACATTTTCAGACAGCTTTTTGGTCCTAGCAACTGACATTCTTGTTAAGCTAGTGTACTGTATGATTCCTTGAAAACATATACATAGAAATTATGGCCTGTCTCAAATTTAAAGTGATGCTTCAGCTCCTATTATAGAAGGAAAAAAAAAAAAAAAAGGTAGAGACTATTTTGCCTACAGTCCAGAAAAAAGTGGCTTATTTCTGCCCATTTAATTTAAAAAGTCCATTACTGGAGTTCTCATTGGATGGGTGGTTAATAATTCAAAGCTATTTATATTTCCATGGTAAATTACTATATTTTTAAAAAGGTAGCGCACTTCATGGCATCAGGGTGACAATAAGGCAGCAAAATTTACATACAAGCTAAGAAGTTCAACTCTACTTAAAACATAGGACTTTAACTTATAAAAGAACTGAATCTAACCATGAGCGAGAACTGGCAAAAGTATCATGTACTCATTCATGTCTAGAAAGACAGTGCAAAAACACAGTGCAAGTATTAATAGATTACAATTTTTTGCTGAGCTAAAACAAAGGTTTGTTCTATGCAATACCAACATGAGGACACCCCCACTGATATTCTGTAACAGGAATCACAGAATGAGTCATTTTGGTGATATATTGCATGTAGATATGCAATTACTAATTCAGTCACAGGTAGCCATAGTGCAGAACATGGAATAAACATGGTCCTGGAGTCCCGTGACAACCTCCTAGGGGATACTGCATGCTGGGCATTCTAATCTCTTCTGACTACATGATGATTATTAAAAAGTTTAATAATCTGAAGTTAGCTTTTACATAAAGGCATCCATACATTTTTAAGGGGCCTGGAAAGTTGCCAACACAGCTCTGCAATCTAGCAGTTTGTATACCCTTATTCTAAGATGTTTTGTGCATTAGTCACTCTACAACTTGCAGAAAACAACACTGACAGAAGGAGAACTATAAGAACTATATAGTAAGACTAATGATAATGATGTTGTCATGAGTTGCATGATATTTTGCATATTCCTTAAAAACCCAGGTTCTAGAACAATGTGGATACATGAGAATCTCAGCGTTCACTTCTCTAGCCTTTATGGTTAGAAAGAAAAGCTTCAAATTCAAGTGTGTCCTCAGATTCAAAAAACAGAAAATAAACAAGTAGTGAACTCCAGATGTCAGTGGCTTAAAGTTGCAATAGTACAACTTGGGAAGCCTGACTCATGACATTTTTCATGTTTGGGGATAATACTAGGTGTTCATTAATTAAAGAGAATCAAATAAAAAGCTGAAGTGGAAGGAACAGTTCACAGGTTAGAGAACATTTTTGACAACGCACACAAAATAAGAAAGTTGAGACTACAAATTGTTGTTGTGATTTGGGGGTTGGAAAGACCTCTCCAAGGCTTTGGCATCAATCAAAAACAATATTAGGTCCTTACTGCACTGTAAAATGTCTCCAACTCAGACACAATGGTGTTTCATCTGTTTATCTTCATGCAATGTAACTTAGATTTGTCTGTAGTTGGAGGAGCATTTATACAGTATTCCATTTTGATAGGGGAGTGTAAACAAGACCCTTAAGGATACTTACCCCATATGAAAGTGCCAATAAAAAAAAATTAATTAAAACTGCGTTAGCACCATATACATAATGTCTCCTAGTCTATGTAGAGGCAACAGCACTGACTAGGCCATTCAAAGATCCACAACACAACATTAAGTATTTTATACTGTTTTAATAAGCTTTCCAGAAGCATTGTTATATGTTTCGAGTAACATCTCTATGAGTTGCATTCAGTCCGATTTTTCATGCACTTAAAATTTTAAAAATAAGTCTCTCACAATAAAGATTCTAATAAACACTGACTAACAACTAACAATTCCTGCCCCTGCCCCACCCACCGTGCCATATATTCCAGTTTTCTCCTTGATTTTAGTGTTTTGGACTGTAATTAAATAAGGGTCTATCAATCTCCACTTAATACGTGGAGACCCATAGCTAAATATTACATTCACTGCAGTGTCCTGAATACTCTCAAAACTCTTTGAATAGAGTGATCACATTAGGAAGCAAGTGGGGAAAAACCCCCAAAACAAATAACCCCAATGAGTTGTAATGGATGTTTGCAAAAACAACAAGATTTTAGGTCATAAGAGGCCCCACAAAGTATCTCCCTTTAAATCTTTGCTATCAGGGAGAAAACACCACATTTGAATACAGCAACGGTTGTACATAGGAGAAAGAAAAGAAATTCACATACAAAGTTTTTTTTTTAAGAGTCTGGTGCAGAATTTATGCAGTCCTCTACTATTTCAAAAAGGTAATAGTAGACATCAGTCCTCCTAGCAATATCAAAGGCAGTTTCATCCAAGTTATTTTTCAAGTTTGGTTTCACGTAGCGATTCATCAGCAGAAGCTGCAGGGTTTCTTTACTATTTTTGTTTCCTGCAGCAAGATGCAATGGTGTCAGCAAACCATTCGTCTGAGCATTGATATCTGCACCATGCTGAAGCAAGAACGAAGCTATTTTTGTATTGTTCCACTTACATGCACTATGCAGGGGTGTCCAGCCATCCACAGTCAGTGCATGGATATCTGCACCTTGGCCAATCAATTCATGCACAATGTCCAAGTGTCCGCTGTAGGAAGCACGATGCAGAGGTGTGTACTGATCTTCATCTTGAACATTTACTGGAGCTAGATTTTGTGATAGGAGCCTTCGTACTGTACTAAGCTAAGAAAGACAGGCAGTTTAATATAACACTCTCCAATGGGATGCGCTCCTTTTGCTTCCAAATAGAAACCAACTGATACACTGTCAAAAAACAAACAAACTTGCCCCTCTCAAAAATCCACGTGGTTGTGATCATAAACATTTTCCTGAGACAAAAATAAGTTTTTAAATTAAATCAATTATTTTACTGCTGCTGTTTCCTTTGGGAACATGAGATGAATGTGTTGGTACAGTAGGTAGCTACACAAAAATAAGAGTTTTCATGGACAGATTTACATCTGTTATACCAGTTTGTTTTTTTTTAAAGGAGAGTACCCCTTCTGGTGGGTGCCCCCTTCCAGACGTGGAGCAGGGTGGGGGGCTCCTGATCATGAGCAGTGGAGGCGATGGTGGCAGGGCACAGGCACGTAGCAGTGGCGCTTCCCAAGTACCCCCACTTCTCTGTACCGCCGCTGCATACCCCCTGGGGCCTTCCCAAGTACCCCCAGTTGACAACCCCTGCGTTATACAAACTGGTAAATGTGCCAATCCTCATGATTCTGAAGAATAATGTGTTATTAAAGGGGGGTTTATTTTTGGTCAAAAATAGCTAGCTTCCTTGCCACAAAACCACAATTCATCATTTGTGCATGTAGCATAGTTTTGGATATAAACAGACCAGGTCTGTTTAAAAAGCAACCAACCAACCAACCCACAAAACAGAACTTAAAATAATTTCTCTCATTGATAAACAGGGACATTTTCAGTACTGTATTAGAGCAGTATTCCACTTGGCATATGTGTTTGGGGCCTCAGTTCAGTAAATCACAACCAAATGCTCAATATTTTTCTGGCCCACTGTCTAGCTATTCCTGGTCTCTCATCTTTTTCACAGCCTTGCAGACTGTTTTTAGTTCTTTCAAAAACTGTGGATCAACCAATGGAGACCAGTCTTTAGCAGCAACTAGGGTTTCAGTTTCTGGTTAAGCAGGAAATGGAGGGAAAGCAAGCTGAAGATTAATCTCTGTTTCTGATCTATGCATCCATAACTCTGGAAAAACTACCCCCCTCCTTTTTACCTTCACAAAAGCAAGGCACGTGTCTTATTTGAGGGAGTGTGTTATAAAAGGAAATATGGTGTTCAACAGTGCTTTTGCTTTTAAAGTAGCTGAGTAGCTTTAACAAAATGCAAACTTAATGTTTTTAAGTGATGGACCTATTTTCACCATTCAAATGTATTACCATTTACCAGAAATAATAGAATACTTGCTAGGCTAATAATTTACACGAAAATACCCAGAATGCTCTTTTGGTTCATAACAGCCTCAGAAAAGCACTAGCATTTGAGCATTGGATAAAAATCAAGGTCATGATCCTGCAAGCTAATCTGCAGAGACCGCTCAACTTGTGCAGAGATCCTCAGACTTCAAAATGGGTGACCTACATTGAATTGCTGGCAGGCTTTGGCCCAGATGGTTTGGCCCAATAATTGGGCCCCTAGCATCCTTTATATATAAAAAACGTGTGTGTATATCTGTATCTATACAGATGGATAATTTGTGTGTTTAACGTGTTTTATTTAGATATTGATTTGAGGGAGTACACCATCAGACACATGCAAAGCACATCAGCTTACCCGATTATTTTCAGCTGCCCAGAGCAACAGCTTATCTGGATTCTTTTCCATTTGCTTTTCTTGCATTTGGTACCACTCCTCGCTTTTCTCTTGCTCATCTTCCTCATCCTCAGACTGCCCTGACCAGCAGCTCTGAGTTCCTATGGGAATTAGATGTCTATGCGTTTCCAGCAATTCAAGTTGATTAAAATTCTCAGTGAACTCCTGAAGCTGTTCTCTCTCATCTTCCCCAGAACCTACATCTTTCACATCCGAGTTCCCACTTTCACTCATTTCTAGTTAGTATCTGCAAGTGCCAAATGTTCAAAATTAAACACTTCATTTTTTCCATTTGCTTTTTTCCAGAACAAATACATACGTGTGCACGTGCACGTGCACACACACACATACACTCAGCCAACAGAAGTTAATCGATGGCTGCAAAGACGAGAGCAACATGCTGCTTTGAAGCACCGTTTGTACCTCTTCCTGGCATCACGGAGCTGCTCTGGACCACCCCTGGCAGTCGCAGCCCCATGAGCCCGACCCCAAATCACTGTCCCCAACACAGGAGGCTGCACCCTGTGGCATTTTGCTCACTCCAGCCAAGGCAGATCCCTCTGGCTGGCGCAAAGCATCTCACAGGGACTAATCACCAGGAATCCTAGTTCTCTCTGATTTAAAAAAAAAAAAATCCCCAATTTTTGGATTAAAGGAAAAAAAAACATTTTCCCATGATTACAACAAAGCACTGCTAACATATAGATGTAGATATAGGGGCGTTCCATTTTAATCGTGGAAAAATGTGAATTTTGGGTTACTTTTCTTAATCAAAATGTGGTTGTTTTTTTTAAATCAGAGAAAACCAGGATCCCCGCTAATCACCCGCCCCGCCCCGGGGCTGAGGCGACCCCCCCGCCCTTGCTTGGGCCGCAATCAAAAGTGGCTGGGAGACCCCCCCAGCCATCGCTGCTCGCTCCACTGCTGCCGGCCCGGCCCGGCCCCACTCCCACGCCCCGCACGCCAAGCCCTGCCCGCCTCGTGCCCACCCGCGTGCCCAGGCTCCGGGGGCAGAACCAGCCCCGCCTCCCTCCAGAAACCACCTGGAAGAAGAACACTTCCAACCCGCGCTCCGTCACCATCCCCATCCCCATCCCCCGGAAGTAGCGCTTCCACGGCCTCTCATTGGCCAATGATGTCCTTGCTTTGCCCTCGGCTTCCGGGGCGGACGAATGGTGAACGCGGGATTTGGGCCGGGGCGGTTCTTACGAGAGGATGCGTGCGCCTCCGCGTTGCTATGGGAACCGAAGGCGCGGCTGGGCCCAGAGCCGCTGCGCTAGGCACCGCCTGACCGGGGGCGGGGCTAGCGCTCGGCACGCGGCCCGTCCGCCTCAGTCTCCGCCTCTGCTCC